TTGAGACCCTACCAGGGTGATCATACAGACTGAGAATTCCGGGAATTTCGCGTAAATTTATTGAATCAGGAACTATGCGAACACTTTTAACTCGCACTGGAAAACCTGTTTAGTCTGCAGTCACGGTGGTATTGCGATCGTCATCCGTGGACACGGCGAAATAGTAAACAGCTTCCGAGGTAGCGGAAAAATAAAAAACATCTTTTGAGGTCACGGTAAGATCGAGAACATCTTCTGTGGTCACGGCAAGAATGAGAACATCTGTTAACGAAAAGCTAGATAACATCTTCATTTCTCACGGCAAAATCATGAACGTCTTTCGTGGTTAAGGAAAAACTGAGAACACTTTCAGTAGTCATGGCAAGATCGAGAACATATTCTGCTATCACAGCGAAATCATGAAAATAATCCACTATCTTGACGAAACCGTAAACATGTTCCGCAATCATGGTAAAATAGATAACATCTTCAGTAGTCACGGTGAAATCATGAACGTCTTCCAGGGTTGGTGTAAAATCGAGTACATTGTCTGCGATCATGGCGAAATCTTAAACATCTTCCGTGGTTATAGCAAAATTGAGAACATCTTCAGTAGTCCCAGAAAAATTACGAGTATCTTCCGAGGTTAAAAAAAACTCCTGTGACATCTTCCGCGGTCACGGGACATCATTGTCTTTTTCAATTCAAATTCTCTTTATTCATTCACAGTACAAGTTTTTATACAATGAATAGCGTCAAATAAATATAAAGATGAATTATGCTTTACTTATCGCTAAAACAATCATCATCTCTACAAAACAAATGTTAAGCTTAAGAAGAATAAACAAAACAAAATTAAATCAAATCATCTTTCTAAACTATCATTTATGATTTCTCTTGAATTCCAAAATTCATCCAATGAATACAAAGACAATGAAAGGAGATATTTTTTCAATCTTTTTTTAAAAACATCAACAATTTTTTCCTCTATTGTAATTTTAGGTAAATTAAATAAGAATTGTATGCCAATGAAACTACATTTCTTCTCAAAAAAACTTTAATTTATGTCGTTCAACCTGCCTAGTATGCCTTAATTTATAGTGTCGAATATTTGTACTATTAGTTTGGATGTTTAATTTTTTTACATGTAATATAGTTTCATAAATATACAAGTCGTAACACTAAACACAGTCGTAGACTGTCGTAACACCTAATTTAGAAAAGAATGGTTTCATTGATTGGCGTTTATTTTTAATTTTGAAAATAATTCGGAGTGTTTTTTTTTTTATAATGAAGAATTTTATCCAAATTTTTCTGGGTAGTTCCTCCATAAATTGCTATACCATAGGATATGTGAGAATTTATTAATGCAAAGTATAAGGTTTTGAAAGTATCAATATCTTACACCCTTGACATTTGTCGCAGGGCATATCTACCTTTTGACATTTTATCAATTACATGCTCAACATGCTTATCCCAATTTAGGTTTTGAGCCAATATCAATCCGAGAAATTTTGTGTACCCCACTTGACTCAAGTTTGAATTATCAAGGTAAATATTCGGTTTCAATTTACATCTTGATTGTTTTGTGGAGAATGATATAAAATTTGATTTACTGTAATTTATTAGGAGATTTTTGCTACTTGAAAAATCATTAACTGATAAAAGATTTAGAAAAGATTTCAGTTCAACTTCCTCTTGGGAATTGCCTGTAACTGTGATGTTTGTGTCATCAGCATAAAGACACACTGAACTTCCTCCATCGATAGCTAGTGGGAACCCCCTCATATAACAAAGAAATAAAAGAGGGCCCAAAATAGATCCCTGGGGGACACCATATTTAATATTTTTGTATTCAGAGTAAACATTTTGAGTATAAGAGTATTTACTATTTGGATGGCAGAAATTATGCTGTATTTGGACACATTGTTGCCTTCCTTGCAAGTATGAACTGAACCACTTAAGCTCTTTATTATTTATATTTAAACCGTGAAGAATTTCTAGCAATTTCTTATGTGAAACAGAGTCAAATGCTTTTGAAAAATCGAGAAAAATTCCAATTACCTTCTCATTTCTGTCAATGGAGTCAATTATTAATTCGATAAAATCGATACCAGCAGTTATCGTAGATTTTCCCTGTCGGAAGCCATGTTGCTCGGGATCCAACAATTTGTTTGATTCAAGGAAGGTTAAAAGCTGGTCATATACTACTTTTTCATAAATTTTTGAAAACACAGGCAATAACGAGATTGGTTTATAACTTGTGGGATCACATTTGTCCCCCTTTTTATAGACTCGTACTATTTTGGCAACTTTTAATTTATGAGGAAAGATACCACAAATTAAAGAGGAATTTATTATATGAGTTAATGGTTTTGATATAAGAGGAAAAGCATGTTTAACAATGGTAACTGGTATGTCATCCATCCCTGTTGAAAATTTATTATCTAAAGACTTAACTATCTTTTCTATTAGCCCTTTATCAACTTCTGTAAATTTGAAGCTGGTCTCCCACGATCATGGTAAGATCGTCAATTTTTGATCGCGCATCTAAGTAAACGCTCTTTGTGGGCGTGCAAATTTGCACTCGGTTCAGCTTAACTCGATCCAAGCTTGGCCCGATAATCATTTTCTGCCCGTACAGATCTCTTGTGCCAACCGTTGGTCCGACCAGCACCGAAAATATGCAGTTCCCGTACCCGCAGACCCCAAGTATAAGGTACACTTGGAGACTAGGAATCAAGACCGGGAAAACCAGGTTTTTCTGTCGGGAAATCTTGAAAGACTAGTGAATTCTGTCTAGGAGTTCCGCCAAAAACAACCGATTTTTTCAGATTGTGGAGTAAAACATAACAGTTAAACGATCCACATTATGCCAGTGGCTAAAGTAGTAAGTATTCAAATCTTATAAATATAGCAACAACTTATATAAATTGACAAAGAAAATGTCAATTGTCAATGTTGCTTTTACAGGCCAACCCAGGGTGTCATGTAAACTGTGCTGAGTGGTGGATGGCACAAGGCCTTTTTAGTGCCCTGTCCCATTATGGTGCATAATACCATATTGTTTTACTTCAGGCCAATAGAGTATTATCTACTTAAATCAAGTCTTGACTCAATGCTCTTTTGTTTCACGGTTGTCTTACAATCTCAGCTTTGGTATTCCACTTATCTTTACTTTCCAGCATTTGCCCTGTAATGTTGCGCGTTCAATTAGGTAGCCAAGTTTTACAAGGTCCTCTTAATAGTTCCCGCCTCTCGTACACTGTAGTGTGGCCTGCAGTTTCTTCCTCCCCGCAGTACCTGCACTCTTCAGATTCTGCCTTCAGGATTCTAAAAGAGATACTTTTGAAACGCCCTGTGTCAATGAGATATAACTTAAGTACCGTAGTAAAATACAGTATGAGAGATAACAATGTAAACATGTTCCAAGGTTTTGTTTTAGTTGCTATAGGAATGAATAAAATATATAAATTGAAGAAAAACAATTGATGCATATATTTTATTCATTCCTGTAGCGACTACCAAGTCTTGTGTTTGTCCGTTTGTGGCTATTTAATTTCTTTCTGGGTTTGGTAAAGGGACAGTCCTGAATGCTCTATAATGAAATGGCTCTTCGTATTTTATAATTTCGAAATTACCGAACCATCTATTGTGACTATTTCATCGAGGTCATAATTTTTGTATTAGAAATCGAATCTTCCTAATATACGTTCTGTATTATGATACAGCTGTAGTTGTCTGGTAAGTTATATGTTATATACTTTTTTAGGCAGGTGGCTATTTTTGAGGGAGGGGGGAGTAAAGAAATCTACGCTATGAAATGAACGCTTGGACACTGCACGAAAGGCAATAGCTTCAAAACTAAGACACACTGTTCCAAAAATAATTCAAGCAGGGCCAGTCACTGGCCCGAATGAATTTGCATGGTCAGGCACTCCACGAATGGCACTGGTCCGAAAATGAGTTTAATATCGGTGTTTTTCTGAGATTTGCCTTTCGGAGCAGTGCCTGGATTCACGGCCACCTAACTCCAGGCCGCCACGTTCTGAAGTGGCAACGGCAACACTGTCAGTAGTTTGCTACAGCTGTTTTGTTTGGAGACAGCTAATACGTATTTGTGTATTTTTTTAGAATACAAAAGCTTGGTTACTGGGTTATGGAAATATTGAATCCATTTTAAATGTACAGAAATATATATATTCAATTTATATGTTTTTCGTTTAGAACACCGTGTTTTATTTCCAATCTTTTTATAAATTTATATTCATATTAAATGAATGGGTGTCGCCCGTCTACCGTGTTAAGCGTATGGCCAAGGCCGCACTAGATATACGTCTGGCGCTGCTAAACAGCACTACTTGCGACGTTTTCAATTCTACCAGACCGCGGCCTGGGGTTAAAGCGGTGGCCGTGCTGGATATCAGAGCATCCTGCCATGTGCACGGGGCTATATTTATCCATCAGCCACTCACTGCTTTTCCGCCTTGTGTGTAATGTGTCTATCATGTTTTGTACTTGATCATAGTTATTATATTCGGAAATATATTTATTGGGGCGATGTAAAATCAAATATGTTGTCAGCACTCGGTTTATTGATCACTTGGTGCTGATGATGTTACTCAGAAATATGAGCACTCGCAATAAATAATTACCCGTACCGTATTGTATTATTTTATTAGTTTACTTGGAGATATTGATGCTAGGAGTTTTGAATTTTCAGTGTTCAATATACAGTAAATTATAGTCGTGTGTCTTGCAAAAGTCCATACTCTGTGTGATTTTGATACGATACGATAACGATAAATCATTCTCATTCGGTGACGGTTTGCGTTTGCGACTAAGGTCGACGATTGCGGTTAGCTGCGAAGTTTGAAATGTCAAACGTTCAACCTGATCAATGTTGTGATTTGTCTTCTGCCTAAGTAGTAAATCGGCCGAAGTATTTTGCGTGTATAAGTGGGCTCATATGATTATTAGTTTGTAAAATTACTTGATTTGTGCTGCAAGTATAGTTTGAAATGAGTGATTTAAAGGTCGGAGTTGTTATTCCTGCTGCAGGACGTGGAACTAGGCTAGGGGGCCCAGTGTCAAAACAGTATCGCAAAATTTTAGTAAGTCTTCCACATTTTTACGGCAATATTACTACAAGTAAGAATGTATTATTCATAATGTATCGCAATTCAAACTAGATGGAAGTTTAAATAAACTATTTCATAGCCTACCTTACAACATGACATCTAGAGTCAAGAAGTCAAGTAGGCTACCTAGTAGGTAGGCTTAGGCCTATCGAATAATGTAGGCCTATCGTTAGCCTATCCTAAAATCCTTAGGGATTGTTGGTTTAAAAAGTTCACATTTATCAAGCATTAACTTAGCTTTCTTCAACTACCTAATATGATGTAGGCTAGGCGTACCTTAGCCTAGTAACTTATATGCTGCATTATGCATACATTAATTAAAAACATTACACACTTAACTTTTTTTGAGATTGTAGACTAGGCATACTACGGAGAACTCCTTGCTATTTACAAAGCTGTGCAGCATTTCCGCCATCTCTTGGAAACAACTTCTTTCACTATATTCACAGATCAAAAACCACTTATTTAGGCCTTTCTACAGCGCCGTGACAAGTTGCCTCCAGCTCAGTTACGTCAACTTTAGTTTATTTCTGAGTTTTCAACGGACGTAAAGCACATCAGTGGCTCACAAAATATAGTTGCTGATGCTTTGTCTCGTGTTAAAGCCATTTTCAAACACCTACAGAAGGTTTCTCTCATGTCCACATTGACATAATTGGCCCACTTCCCTTATCAAAGTCTTGAAGTTACTGTCTAACTATCATAGATAGATTTACTCGCTGGCCTGAAGTTTGTCCTATTGATCAAATAACTGCCGAATCTGTTACTCAAGCGTTTGTCTCTACTTGGATAGCTCGATTTGGATGCTCACAAAAGTTGACATGTGATTGCGGATCCCAGTTCACATCGACTTTGTTAAAAGACCTAGCGTGACAGTTGGGAATAAAGCTCCAGTTCATCACCAGATGGCATCCACTCGCCAACGGCATGATTGAAAGACTCCATCGCCAGTTGAATGCTGCTATAATGGCACACAGCAAATCAAACTGGACTGAGTAGTCCTGTACTGCCTGTAGTCCTTCTCGGAATAAGATCTGCCTTCAAGAAGGACATCTAGATGCTTCATCGGCTGATATGGTGTACGTAGAATCACTGTGTCTTCCGGGAGAGTTTTTCGTCTTAGTACTTACCTTCACACCAGAACAACGAGCCGCAAGGATTGGTGTCCAGGCTGCATAAGCATATGAATTTCCTAAGACCTACACCCGCATCACGTCACATTAAACCAGGATCCTTTTTTTTTCAAAAACCTCAGCACTTGTGATTTTGTCTTCCTCCTACAAGACAGCTTAAGAAAATCATTACAGGCCCCATATTCTGGTCCCTACAAGGTCATATGCCGTGATGACAAGGCAATCACAATCATCAGAGGCCAAGAAACTAAAGTGTCTTTGGACATGGTCAAGCCGGCCTATTATTGTCGTGGATAAAAATCGTATTCCTAAGCCTATGAAACGTTTTGTGCCACCTGGACTTAGAGTGGAGGAATCCTCAAACCTACCACCTTGTCAAACTCCACCTGTGAAGCCCTATCAAACTCAGACAAATCCGACCACAGGTTACTTTTCAGAATGTATAGATTTTTTTCTCCGTGGGGGGCTGGTGTAGAATCAGCTGATGTCGTCTTAGCAACCATTAAGTTTATTCTTGCTATTGGGTTTTTAGAGGAATGTACACAACTTGTAACTCTTCATTAATAATACTTTTCTCTTACTCATTTCATTGTAAGTTTATTGAACCACACAAACAACCACAACCAAAGGTAGTAACAAGACCAGGGTTCGGACAGTTCCCTTTTTAAATGTACCGGTTGCCTAATTTACTGTAGGTTTTTATTCTTCTTTCGTTTTCATACTGCGTTCTCGTGTAAGACTTTTCATCAGTTGTAATATTTTATTTCTTCAACATTCTTTTTTGAAGGCAAACTTTCAATGCAAAGCTCACAATAATAAAGTTAAACCTAAAGTAAAGTTTTTAATATCATCTATAGTGGGGTCGTAAAGCTGCATATAATGGCAGAATATTTCAGTTCTGGCGGAGAGTCTGCAATTTTAAGTGGTTATAGTATACAAGTTTCTGAACCTAAAACCGCCCAGACCCCAATTTTTTAGGACCTCAGTCGTCCGTAATGACGTCATCAAAATGGCGGCCGTAAGAGGATGCTGGGTCCCCATGAATTGGCTATAATGACCGAATGCCTGAACCGATTTTCATGAAATTTGGCACACAAGTGCTTGAATACATTATCTTGGCCTGGGTTGAAAATGGTCAAGTTTCATCAAGTCATTTCAAAATGGCGGCTGTTCAAAACTAAAAAAAAATATGAGGAAAATAATTGTGAATTGTTTTACACAGGGTGAGTTTTAAATGAGTTACCCCCCTACTTTTTTATACATTTCTTAAGATATCAATTCCGAACCACGTCAGATAATTGTAGAGTAGCGAGTACTTCATTTTGATTGGGTTTTATTTTATCCGTTTTTTGTTATCAAGCTTTCTTGATGAAATATAACAATTATCTTGATTTAAAATGTCAATATTTCAAAAACCAAATATGACAATGAAAAACGGATTGCGGCATTGAATTCAACATAAAAGTAGTTCAAAATGATGGGTCACAACACCACCTTCATATTTAAAATAATTTATCACATTTCAAAATGGCGGATCCAAGATGGCGGCTGAAAAAAATACATCTGTCATAACCGAGTGAAAATAGGTCAACAATGAATGGTGGTGTCCACTTATATTGATCTAGCACTATTTTGAGATTATGGCCTTACTGTAGTTTGTAAATGCACAATGTTACAATGGACTAAAAATAAAGTTATAAAAAGTTCTCATAACTTTAGAATGGATCAAAATTTTTTTAAACGGATTACAGCATCGTATTCAGCATAAAGGTCTTGTTTGAAACGGTGGGTCACAACCCTACCTTTACATTTGAAAAAATAACTTTGTATCTAAAATGGTGGATCCAAGATGGCGGCCAAAAATTTAAACCCAGTCAAAATGAAGTACTTGCTACTCTACAATGATCTGACATGGTTCAAAGTTGATATCTTAAGAAATGTATAAAAAAGTAGGGGGGGGGGGGAACTCATCATTTAAAACTCACCCTGTATAAAACAATTCACAATTATTTTCCTCATATTATTTTTAGTTTTGAACAGCCACCATTTTGAAATGACTTGATGAAACTTGACCATTTTAAACCCAGGCCGAGATAATGTATTCAAGCACTTGTGTGCCAAATTTCATGAATATCGGTTCAGGCATTCGGTCGTTATAGCCAATTCATGGGGACCCAGCATCCTCTTACGGCCGCCATTTTGATGACGTCATTACGGACGACCAAGGTCCTTAAAAATTGGGGTCTGGGCGGTTTTAGATTCAGAAACTTGTATACTATAACCACCTAAAATTGCAGCCTCTCCGCCAGAACTGAAATATTTTCCTGCTACCCAGCCTGACTACTAAGCCTAAGCCTGAGTGAACTAGGCCTATAGATAGCAATTGTTGTGAATTTAATTTATATATGAGTTTTTAAAGTAACAAACAATGAAACAATAGCTATGTTATTGCAAGAACAGGATGTGTAAGGTATTAATTGTTGTTCGCTGTTTTTCAGGATAAACCGCTTCTTATGTACTCACTTGAAGCATTCCTGGATATAACATGGATCAATAAAATAATATTGGTGGTAGATAGTATGGAAAAGGTAAGTGGTAAGTAAATAAAAATATTAAGTTCTTAAGCCTAAAATACCAACATATTCTCTGACAACCATAGACACACTTGGATACTGGAGGCCCTACTCGGATCCTAGTCTTCTTATTCTTTGACCGAGATTTTGGATAGATTCCTAACATTGATTTTTCAATACAATTCAAATAGAAGTTTATTTCACAAGATAAACGTTATACAGACAGGTATACCGTGCACATTGGGTCCTACATTTAGATTTAAAGTTAGATTTACGTAAATAATGAAGCAAGATTTAGGCTATGTAAGATCTAAATTTTGTAAATACATTATTACTTGACACAATTGTATCACAAAGTTTCATAAAGATATTTTAAATAGTTTTCGAGAAATAAATTTAGAACCCAAAAAAACAAATGGCAGATGTCTTGTTAAGGAGACATTTTTGGAAAAAAATTGTATTCCTGATTTTCGTTTTATCTTGACCCAATAAACCTCTACTTTATATTCTTTGTAGCCTACTTAGTTACGGGACACTCTGTATATCCATAAACAAGCAAAATGCAACAATTTTAAATTTTCTCTATATGAATAACATGGTAATTTCAAATTTACAGTATTTTTTTTATTTCTTAGTATAGACTAACAATTGTACAACAATTCTTCAATTTACAAAATAGTTTTTTCAAGCTACAATGGTTGCAATAAAAACAGGACATTTTCATGTTTTAGAGCAAAAATTTGAAAAAAACAAATTTTTGAAAGATTTTAAAGCATCATAATACCCTGTTCTCCCCTGGAGATTAGGGTATTCAGGGGCTTTGACCAGAGTTATGAGTGTATTTAATGACCCGATCTTGCTGGTTCAATAAAGTATACTCAATCAAGTATATCCAGCTCCCTCATTCATGCCTAATTTCTTTAAAATCGGACCAAAATTACTTGAGTTATCTAGTTTACGCAAACATATACACACATATACAGGGTGTTTCACGGGAACCCTGACAAACTTATGTCCCGATCTGAATTAGATCCCGATTGGAGGACACATTTTTACATTTGACAAAGATGATAAAACTTGTGAAAGAAGATAAAATAAATTTTATATAAAAAATAGACAGTTACTTTTGCAATCTCTATTTTACAGTCATAACTAATAAGTACCATTGATTTTAAGTATATTTTACAGGTTCAAGCAATGTTGCAAGAGTTTGGTTATGAAACTTCCCCTAGAATTGTATTAGTCAAAGGAAGAGAAACTCGCCACCGTTCAATTAAAGCTGGTGTTCTGGAGTTACAAAAACAGTTCTCTGGTTAGTGATTAGTTGTTTATGCATTTATGTTGGCTACATGGGTTGTCCAAAAAGTAAAGAACGTTTTGGCTAGATTAAATAATAAAAAAAAGATAATGACCCAAACTTTCTTTGCAAAGACAACACACTACCTTATTAAACTTTTCTACCAATCACCATAATTGTCGAGACAATTGTTGCAACGTGGTTCTCTACTCCGATGTTATACTCATCAGCCGCAAGACATTTGAGCCATGTTGTTACTGCTTCTTTAAGTTCCTTAATATTTTCGAACTGTTTTCTACCCAAAATTTTTTTAATTTTGGAAACAATAGGCTGTAGGGAAGATGACCAAAGATTTCCCACTTCATACACATTGAAGTCCCTGCTGCATCCATACTCAAGCCTGAGACTGGGCATTGTTGAGAATAAAATACTGTATAACCAACATATTCTTGTTTGGATGGCCAGTCAAAGCTGTTGAAGAGCTTCACAGTAGGATTCTTAGTTCTGAAGCAATTAGGATAATCGGCGATTCGGTTGGTTAGAGTTCGGATAGTTGGTGTTCTACTATATTGAGTAAAAAATTCAATGGCTTCTCCCATGCGTTTCCCCTTATGGACATCCATCAGAATCTCAGCCACCCACTGAGCACACATTTTCTCAACCAATAAATGTATGCAACTAAAGTAGTCAGCTGGTTCAGGAATCATATCTCCCTCCTGCCTTGTCTGGTTGTATGGTCTGCTTTGGTCCTCTCCAGATATCCTACTCTCAGGAAGATGTCACATAATCCGACAGACTGTATTAATTAATGTAGCTTGGTTTTTAATTAAAAGTAAGGCTACACAAAGCATGATACAATGATATAGTAGCCTATTTAGATAGTACAGTTGATTCTTGAATTCCAGCTCTCATGGGACCAAGAGAGTTTCTGATAACCGAAAACATCAAGTAACCAATCAAGTAATACTATGTTTAAGCTTTAAAAAGGAAAGTCAACAATTAAGTCTTCTTGTACTCCTCGACTGTTAAGGAGTACAAATATATTTATACACTTATCCAGTTCCTTGTGTAGCAGTATTCTTTTAATTGAACCTGTAAACTCCTTGCATGTGGGATTATTATTATGACCTCCACGGCTCCGAAAGTAGCCAAACAATCTTTCAAGATGATCTTGACTAACCTTGTACAAGGGTAAATACTTCAAAGGGAAGTTTTCACCTCCCACAAACTGTTTATACATGGCCATCACACTTTCTATTCATACAATGAAGCCAATGAAACCAGTTTTTCTTTTGACTTTAATATCCTCAATCCTAGATTGTCTTTCAATTCTGAATGTACAATTTTGGTATCTTCCAAGAAGGTTAAGTTGTCTTTGAAGTTCCATGGATACAAAGCTTTTTTGTCAAAATTACTGTAGATACTCCTCTAATTAAGAATGTCAAAAAGTTTGTCGAATCGCCGCAGAAAGGTTATTGTTGCTGAACATCCTTCGAAGCCTTCCACATTCTTTTCTCAAAGGTAATCTAAAGAGTCTGCTACAGATTCGCTTAAAACCTGCCCCACTGACGCTTACCAGTAGTGTGACCCACACTGCGTGGCCGCCATGACAGTTGGGGCAAGCGCTCACAGGTAGCTTCACTGGCCGGCCTAGGTCGCCTCTCTATTTTATTCTGTGGTCGCTGAGCTAGACGTCCCATAAGCTAACATGACAAACAGGTGACACCCGCTCATTTAATAGCGTATTATTGATTTGAATTTATGAATATAAATTCATTAAAAGATTGAAAATAAAACATATAGTGTTCTAAACATAAACAATATAAATTCAAAATTTATTTCCATACATTAAAAATGGAGTCAATATTTTCATAGCCCAATAACCAAGCAAAACACACAAATACGAATTAGCTTCCACCAAACAAAACAGCTGTAACAGTATTACTGACAGTGTTGCCACTTCGAAGACCGCGGCCTGGTGTTAAAGGTGGCTATGGCACAGCTGAATCTGAAAGACCCAAAAACCTTATGTAGGCCTACCTCTATTACATTATGTTAGCTAGGCCTACTAAAAAGTAACAAATCATAAAACAAAGCACTGTAATGCACATAATTTAAATACAGGGAGCGGCAAAATGATCTGAGCGTATTCTTTGCCGCCCTGTCGAGCGAGTGAGTGGCGGAGGGCGTTCCAAAGACAATGTGCGGACATTTTTAGTAGCCATGCAACTGTGGATGGCAGAGCACTGTGCATTTGTGGAAGTGTTTATTTAAAGTGGCACTTACTGTGTAGCTGTTCAGTAGCAGTTCCGTATATGTTTCAATGTGGATCCAAGGTGAATATTCCTAACTCGAAATACCATTTTTCTGTGGGTGGGTAACTTCAGAACTACTAGTTCAGCATTGAAAAAAGTCAAGAGGCCAAGATCAGCCCGGACACCAGTGAACGTCGAGAGAGTGGAGAGAATATGCCTGCACATATGTGGCAACTTGGTGGAACAGTATTACGATACGACCTGCACTTTCATGCATACAAAATGGCAATCATGCAACAGTTGAAGCCCATTGGTTATGCAAGGCACATCTCATTTTCAGAACAAGTGGTCGGTTTGCTTACACATGCCAAATTGTCATTATGAGCGACGAATCACACTTTCAACTACACTACACAGTCTTCCTCACTCTCTTGACGTTCTCTGGCGTCCGGGCTGACCCTGGATGGCCTGTTGATTTTAGTTTCAAAGCTGAACTAGTAGTTCTAAAGTTGCCCACCCACAGAAAAATTATGTTTCGAGTTGGGACTTTTCTTCCTTGACCCACATTGTATCGTCTGCTGAACGGGTACACAGGAATTACCACTTTTAAAAACACTTCCACTACAAATAAATGGTGCTTTGCCGTCCTCCATGGTTACTAAAAATGTCCGCACGTTGGCTTTGTAACGCCCCTATTCCCACCACCCTCCACCACTCTCTCGCTCAACAGGGAGGCAAAGAATACCGTCAGATCATTTTGCCCCTCCCTGTACAATAATCCCTAATATTTACTGGAAGGACCTCAGAATGAAATTGTAAAGATAAGAGTTTCCTGTGACACCAACTAAAAAGGTGGCATGGTTTTTAATAATAGTTATTATTAAAATAACTAATGATGTTGCTTACAGTATAGAAAAATGTATTTGACACAATTTATCTTTTGTAAATAATATCTGTTCCATTTTTTACCAGTCTGTATAGGTTCGAATTTTGAAAAATTTGTATTCCCCTCCTAGGTAAAAAGTTAAGGGTTTCTTCACGCAAAATGCATCATAAGGGATCACTTGACAATGTTTGTTCTCAGATGAAGTGAATGTTGTGGTGGTTCATGACGGAGCACGACCTATAGTACCACCGTCTCTGGTGATGGAGCTAGTACGAGGCGCAGAACAGCACGGCGCGGCTGGCGCAGTCAGACCTCTAGTGTCCACTGTACTGCGTGTCACATCTGACAGTTTCCTGGCTGACAGCCTAGATCGTTCCTTGCATGTCGCAAGTGAGACCCCTCAGGCTTTCCAGCTGGAAATATTAACAATGGCTTACAACAAGGTATTGGCTTACAAGCAGAGATTGTTTATTGTTGCACAATTCCTTAGGTTACCCTCATATCATGAGGTTTAGGTGGTTAAAATTCATGATGTAGCCCCTGAACTGTTTAATTAGACTAATATGAGGTACATACCTTTACGTCAACAGTTCAATTGTCGTTAGTAGAACTCACAACATGTTTCGCCTATTCAGTTAAGTTTTAAGTTTTAAGGAAATACAGGCTTCAATTAACATTTAGAACTACCAATAAATCCAAACAAGCTTTAACACAAAAAATGTTGTTGAAAACAAGTTAGACAAGTCTGGAGTTTATAAATTGAAGTGTATGGATTGTCCGGATTTTTATATTGGACAAACAGGCAGATCCTTTACTCAACAACACAAGGAACATCGCCCCGACCCCAGAGCAGACAAACGAAAATCCACTTTCGCAGCATTTATTAGATAAAAATCACACCATAGATACAATTGACAATAGCCTGGAAATTCTCCATGTTTGTAATAAATTAAATAAATTGGGTTCTCTAGAACAGTTTGAAATTTAAAAAAGCTTCCAAGACAGCCACAATAAAAACCATATTTTAAATGACCAGTTAAATTTCAAATCACACTCTATCTTCAATGCCATAATAGCCTTCAACAATAGACAAGAACAGTTTGACCTTTGTAGTACAACTACTGATAACGGAGGAGGGGTCGGTGTTACATAATTCCAGCATGTTCAGTCTGCCTCCGTACCGCGACCGGTAATAGTAGGCCTACTCTAACTGTTAAATGTTTTCGTGCGTAATGTGTGTGTATTTATTTAAATGTTTCTTGACGACCCCATCATGAATGATGAAAAACATTCTTGTTAGGATATCACCTGACGATGCCTGAATAGGCGAAACATGTTGTGAGTTCTACTTACGACAATTGAACTGTTGACGTAAAGGTATGTACCTCATATTAGTTAAGGTGGTGGTGTATAGTGCACACTGTGGGAATCACTGTCAAGCTGGATGCTTCTTTATAGAAAATCAGTCAGGCCAAAGTAATGCCCCCCCCCCCTCCACCGTCCATATAAAATTTGTCATTTAGAGATTTAAATTTTTTTTACTGTATGTCCAGAAAAATCTTGCATCTTTTAATGCTATTTTAAGAAGTACTTGTAAGCTACTAAATGTGAGACCGGGGTTTTGTGTTCTGCAGACCACAGAATAAATTAAATTTAAACGTCCTTTGAAATAAAACGCTCTAATACAGAAGAAACAGGTTTTATATTTTGTAGGCCTGGTTTATAGTTGCAAACCTAGTGTATGATTGTTATGTACAAGGGCTGTATATAAATTATGGTCTACCTACACCAAGCTCCCACTGTGGTAATAGTTCAAATCTGAAACAAACGTTTCAATTTTTACTTCATCCAATCTTATTCTAGCCGGGGAGCAAGCTGGTCTAGTTGTTAGACCGCTGTACTTTGGTCCCCGAGTTCCTGGGTTCAAATCCTGCCAAATCACCAATGGATTTTTTCTAAGTGATAATGCCGCGACCCCTAGGTCTAGCTTGAAGTAATGGGAAAAACAATTCCAGACTCGTGCCTAGCGTCCTAGGACAAAAAAAACAAACGTTATTCTAGTCAGTTCCTACCCCCTGCGACGATCCGATTTGTCTTGTCATAGTATGGCTTAAAAAATTGAGTTTCTTTGGGAAGGGGGCAAATACAAAATGGATCCTAATGTGAATGTAGAAAAGTGTTTGGCCGTACAAAATGTGCACAAATGGCTTATGGAGTTGGCTGAAGGCCGTACACATTTGCACAACAGCTAGGAACGGGTTGTCCTCAGATTCCTTAGAGACAAAGGATAAAGTTGAGGATACTTGCTTGCTGATCGGCTTGCTTAAGACTACTAGCTTTGACTATTATTAATACAACTTGACATTATATCCCCATGTTAAATTTGTAGCCAGTTTTTTTAACCAAAGTCGTTGTAGTTGATGTGAGCCACCGACAGATTGTGCTGATCTAAATTATTGATTTCTGTCGAATACACCATTTTTTTACCAATTCACGATAATAGAATGACTTATTGTGAATTATACATTTAGCAACTCGGGAGTGCCCCTGAACGCCAGGTAGGCTCACGTACACACGCTCAGACCTCACCCACACAAGGACAGGGGATTAGAACCGGCCACATTCTGTTCTGCGCTCCGTTAATTAGTCCCAAGTGGCATTTCCTATCAAATGTAAAGCTTTTAACTTAAATATTAAACCTAAAATAGTTTGCAGTAATCGATTCTGCTATCAACACGAGAAAATTGATATTAAACAACAATATTAGTCATCGGCAACCTGAAATATATTGCAGCATGTTTTGTGAAGGAATATTTAAGTAAATCATGGGTTGTTTGGTATCATTTTTATTGTAATTTTCAGCGGAATTTAGATGTATTAACTATTTTGAAGGTTTTATTTAACTACAAAAAAGGTAGACAATAGAGTTTTAGACACTAGCACATTCTGTGACTGGCTCCCACAATTACATTCTTTTTTGACGAAAAATTGGCTACAGCTGGTCCTTATAGATGGGATGTTTACTTCAGTATCCAATAGTCAATGCTACTAGGTATGTTATGCTAATAGTACAACTTGGTTCTTGATTACTGTATCTTGTTGACACGTATCCATTTGGCATTCTCTCGTTCTATCATAATGTGATTCAAAGGCAAAATTTTCTCAACTTTGGTAACTAAATAGACCAAATGAATGATCACAGACGACCTACACCATGCAAAACACTGTACAAACTGTGGAAATGTTTTAACTCCCTCAACCTTTTAGGCACATTTCCTACGTCCAAACTAACAATTTACTCAATTCCAGTCTGTCAACTAGCAGTGGGCTTTAAAAGGGGTTGACAGCTTAACTCACAGAACATATTTCTCTCGGTGTTTTTAACCCCACTTAGCGAGAGAGTAGATTTTCCTTCAGATTGTTTATGGCTACTATAACTTGACTCGTCTTTGCATAGGTGTAGGAATCAGCTAAAACAGTAGTGGATGATGTGAAAAACAGAGACTTAAATTTGAAGTAGCACACTTTGACAGGAGTCTGTTGGAGGCATTAATTACAGACAAGTCTGTATTTTAATACGTTTAGTGAAATAAGTTTTAATTTAAAACATTTATTTTTAAACATTTTTTTAAACATTATTTTAAACATTTATTGCCCGTCTTTCTTATATTCACTTTCATCACCCATCTTTTTTATTTATTATAGTATATACATTTTAATCAGTCATTTTAGAATTGATGAAATACACATAAATGATAAGCTAGACATTGCTTGTTCAATCAAGACCAGCCACTTGCATTACCTTTGCACTCTGCAAATGTCTCAGATGTCCTGATTCTAAAAAAAAAAAATAAATTAGAACCATTTGTCAAGCCAGGCCTGGAGATCATAGTAGATGTCTTTTCAAACAATTGAAGATTCCTACAATTATTAACTTATATATTTATCATGTATTAATATTCACAAAAACAAATCTAAATTCTTTTTTTATTAGACGTGAGGTACACAATCACAATACCAGGAATAAAAACAAACTTGAAATCCCTCAACATAGATTAACAAAGTTTGGAAATTCTTACATGGTAAATTGTGTTAAATTTTTTAATAAGCTTCCCGATAATGCTCACACCACTCCTCTTAACACGTTGACTGCGCGTGCCGACTTTAGTCGGCGTCGCCAGCGCTCCCAGGTGGCGCGCGCCGACTGCAGTCGGCACCAGACCAACAGAAATATATTGAGTCAGTGTGAGCTTAGCCTCAGACGGAGACGTTATAATCGTTGCCAGCCTGGCAGCTTAGAATGCGAGCTTTACTTTGGTGTAGGTTGGTACTAAAATTTCCCGTAAAATCCTGTCTGGCAATGCTTTTGTCCCGGTTTCGGGGATTTTTTCTCTTCAACCCACATTACAAAGACACTGGATACGGATCCGTGCAGTGCTGCTACCTTTGGGTGTTTCAGTGAACTACATCCACTCTCGGGGTAACGCAGCACAGTCACCACTGCTCTTTTGTGATTCGTCAGACTGAAATATTTGAATGCCAATTGCGTTCGCTGATTCGGTTGCGCGCCGGGGCTTCGCCCGCCACTGGGGAGCGCCTGTAAAGTCGGCGGGCGCAGTCAACGTGTTAAAGGCTTCAAAATTGAGTTGTATCAATGGCTTCTAGACAATCCATTCTTTACTATTAATGAGTTTATGGCCACCAACATAGATAATATATTTTAAGTTTTCAAATCAATGATAAGCATTAACTTTTGTTTGTTTGGATGAAGTTTACCAATTTTATTAATTTAATGTTTATGAAGCTGTTGTTTGGGTACTAGGCTGCAGTTGCAACTTTGGTTTTAATTTAAATATATTTAGATTGATGATTATTATCGATATTATTGATATTATTTGATGTTATTGACTGTATATATTTATGTTGACCATGCCCATCACATGTAAAAATGATCAACGGCAATAAATATCTTATCTTATCTTATCTTTATCATTGCAGCCACAACTAGCTTGCTGATGTGACCTATACAGACATAAAAAAAATAATAATAATTTAAATAATAATAATTATTATTTATTTTAATAATAATAACTTATAAGTGGAATAAAAGAGACTGACGAAGTCTGTTGATTGACATCTTCATGTCTTTGAGCAGGATGATGTTCTTCTGTGGATCAAACAAAACAGCATTAGCTCAAGGGTACTACTGGATCACCTGCATTTACTTATAAAGTTCCAGAATCTACCTAAAACGAAAATCAGTGAACACTGGCTAATCAGCTGATAATTGTAATCCCCTTGATCCCTGTATTTCTCAATTCAATTCTCCTTATGTGTAATTATGTTTCATGTAATTTCTTGAAATAATTCTTATGGTGTCAGGTCACTCTTTCTTTGAAGCCGAGTTACAAATTGCCATTCTTAAGGTATGTGACCCAGTTCCATATAAAATTGTTTTTATATGTGTTTAAGATTCTACAAATTTATTTATATGTCTCTTAAAAGATTCTACCGTCAATAATCAATAAAATCGTCTTTTTTGCTTTAGTGTTCAGAAGAGGACCTTAATCATGGCACAGAATGTCTTGCGTTAGTTCTAAAGTACTGTGGAACAAAGGCCAAACTGATCCCAGGTCCAGAGGATCTTTGGAAAGTCACCCATAAACAAGATCTTTATCTGGCTGCTGTGACCATAAAACGTAAGCTTTTAGCTTAAATATGTTGCTGTTATAGTTGAAAAACAAAGATAAGCCAATCCGATTCTAGATTCTTTAAAAGTTTCGATACTGGTGGTATCGACTATCGAAGAACCAGTAACAATACTTCATTCGAGAATTCAAAACAATTCCGGAATCTACTGTGCAATGACATATAAAAAGTACCTGCATTTTCAGATCTTATTGTACATAAGAAAAAGCTTAAACATTTAAATGTTCCAAATTACTGTTTAAATTATGTATATATACGAATGGATGGAATTATACTTTTAGTTGGGACAGGCCACAAAACAATTTTTATATCCTCCCTGAATTCTAGGACAGGATTTTCTTCCTTTGCAAAAAAGTATTTAAGTTTGTTTTAAATATTGTGATTAACAATCTTAGCTAATAAACATAATTACAATCAATATAATTTTTCAGTCTTTCTTTAATTGACTGTTCTATGTAATCATGACTGTAATCTGTAATTGCGGGCATTTAACTTTTTACTCATGCAATTGAGGGAACATTACCATCCTCAGCATCGGTATTGTAGAAAATTGCTGATAGTTGAAATAAATCACCTCCTGCGGAAATCCTGGATTAAATTATACCCCACAAAGACCGAGTATGTTTTTCCCCCAAAACTTTCAAGACCAGCCCATGCCTAATAGTTGAACAATCTCTTATGGTTAACTACATCATCTTAACTTGGTCCAGAACTGAAATCGCCTCCAAGCGTGTTGGCGGTTTTAGATTGCACACTTTGAAGACACTGCAGCTTCACTACCTCCGTCTGTCCTTGAGATACACTTTGACATGCTGTAGTGTCTGAGTGATTCCGCATGTACCTGACATAAGCTAAAATATGACTGCGAAAAACTACAAATTTTACTATCAAGTTTGAGTGTGTACCCTGAAATTCTTACCGTCAATTTTGTCAATCGAGTAACCGTCAAAATTTGTCATCATGGTTGGGGAAATTATCATATCAGAAGAATCTTTATCCCTCATATGATAAGATATGGCTTAGATTACATTCGCAGGTGTTGTTAGTATTGAATTCCTCTCAAGTTTTAATTTAGACCAACCCCCTTTATTTTTAAACATAAACCTACAGTACCGGTATATTCTTGTAGTGACATTTTAAGGCCTTTTTAAATCGGATTTATTCAACATGTTTAATGGTCCATCTAGATAGGTGGAAAATGAAATCAGGGAAACTTTTGATTTTTCTGTATTAACAAAACAATAACAATTATAGAAACACTATAAACTCTATAAACTGTTAAAATAAATTTTAAGCTAGTGCCCAGATATGTGGTATGAAGAAAGGCCAGTGTCGAGTAGTTCTGTTCACTAAACAGTCTGGATTACTTTTGCTGTTACTGGATGGTAAAAAAATGATGGCAATAGCGATCATTTTTGGTCGCACGGGTGTGACGGGTATCGGTATAGGGATTGACTTTTGACGATCGATTCTCGATACCAATACCAACGGCCGAGTATCGGTGGTATTCGGTATCGAGAATCGACACATCCCTAGAAACAACCTAGGAATTTAGAAGAAAACTCAACAATTAAATGGTTGTTACCCTCAGAAGGGAACACCTAGAAAGGCCGACAGCTTGACCTCCCAAAGTCAAGAGCTACCAACATTTTGATGTGATGGCAGAACACCCCTATCTCTGATTGGAGTGGGGAGAGGGGTCACTTCTACTTTGGTACCCATATTAAAAAATTACGCCATCCCACAATAGCCGAGGCAGGTAGGTCTTCTTTTTCTGGTCCAGAGATACCCTGTCCACGACTATAATTTAATCATAATAAAGTATGTTGATTGGGTCAATTTTTTTAAGTATTGGTTTGGTATGATTAAGCCCAGAATTTAATGTGGTGTGCTAACCATTTTTTAAACTTCTCCTCCATCTTTCTCCTTTCAGCTTTATATCATAGTGGTTCTGTAACCATGTTTTGTCAAACGTTCATTGCCATTTTATAATTATAAATGATTCATTACATTTCAGGGAAAAACAACAATGTATGCATCATCAGCACTGAGAAGAATGCAATTATTAATACTCTAGTTGACAGTCTTAACATATCTGCGGCCCAGACTGTGCGCCATGTTGTTTCACCAGAAGATACTGACTCCAACAACACTGATCAACACACTTTCAACATTGTCATCTGCTTCCATCAGCAGGAGATACAGGATACCCAGCTTGTAGATTTTGCTCCTATGTTAGACACTGTAAACCAGGTCAGTTAATTTATTAAAACTGCAATTCGTTTAATTCATTACCTAATAAGATGTGTAGTCAAGTCTGATTTCAGATGTTAAAAACCATTTAATACAAGTTAGGACTTGTAATGTGATATTAGTGGGTGAGTCTATTTATCTTAATTTATTTAGGGAATGTCTTTAACTTCAAATTTGAATGGTGAGATAGAATAAAAAAAAACATGAATATAGTACATGTTGTGTTTCTTCTTCTCCTCTTTAGTTTTCGTCTCCATTTTGGCCCCTTCCCTCAGTGGTATCGTACATGTACCTTTGTAACAGAAAAAAAACAAAAACATTTGTGTGTTATGGTGTAACACAACAACACCATAGCCTTTTAGAAAAAAATCCTATTTACACAACACAAATATTAAGTTACAAATTTGATTTGTATAACACTCAGGGTGAACAGCTCTACGGCAGTCGTTACACATTGTCCTTGTTTGGCGACGTCTACCCTCTGGGTCCTTTTGCCCGCTGCACTCCTTGCAACTTTTTCATTACCATCAGGAATTTAGAAAGTACAGGTATCCTTGGGCCCGTCACCAGCCCCCAACAAAAACTTTTTCCCATGTTTTCATACTTCAAATAGGTGTACAGCATTTGATTTGTACACCATCCATCCCACTCATACCCATATAGTCATGCACTATCTGAGGATTATTTTGATCAGCACTCATCTGTTCCTCAGACGAGTAAATTGAATTGTTTTTGCAAGCTTTTAGAGGATAAAAGAATGGGCTAAACTATGATTTGTTGGTTGGCTTTTCGCTTAAAGCCATTGTTAGGATAGGCCCTTTTTGAAAATGTTTTTTCGAACAGCATGTTTCCTGTGAAGTGGTTTTCTCACAAGAAATGGTCACTTCCAATCCAAACTTACTCTGCCCTATAGCCAGGTCATTTTAGAATAAAGATCTCGGGCCAGGGTAATAGTGATGAAAAAGTTGTCTATAAAAAGATGATACAGTAGACTCCCTCTTATCCGGACACCTTTTAACCGGACATCGGTTTGACTGGAATACACTCGGTAGAAGTGACATCTCTTTATCCGGATAATTTTTATTAGCGCATCGGTGTAACCGACTAGATTGGTAGGAAGTGGGCGGTACTGAAACAACAGTTCTCGTGGGAAAGATTTGAGATCAGTGATTACGTGTCTAAATACAATGCTCTCCTAATTTTAAGTCAAATACTGTATAGAGTATGCATTTAAACGGTCCGTTTTAAAGAGATTTTGGGGACGTTGGTTACCCGGAAAAACCGTTATCCGGACTGGCCTCGGTCCCGAGGAGTCCGGATAAGAGGGAGTCTACTGTACCCTTTGTTTAGCACGTTTCCCATTTTTGTTTTCAAAGTGTTTCAATAATGTATTATACTAGTCCTTTCTTCTAGTCCTCTTTAGTTTTCGTATCCATTTTGGCCCCTTCCCTCAGCGATATCGTACTTGCACCTTTGTAACAGAAAAAAAACACACAGTTGTGTGTTATGGTGTCACACAACAACACCCATAGCTTTACTACCCATCCGTGGTGTTTTTTTTTAAGGTATTGGGTAAGGGCTATGGGTTTTTCTGTCCCAAGAAGGCATTCATCGATGCTCAGTTTTGATAGGGGACATACTTAATATAGCTTGAATAGCCGATTCGCAGGGTCTATGACTGGTTGAAATATGGAGCAAGGGTTGTAGCCAGGTTCACCATTCTGGAAAGGGTAGTAGTATCCACTGCATGAAAACATTTTAGAAGTCATTCAAACCGGTTTTGGCTAATGTTTTAACACCATGGAGTAAAGAGCTCAGTAGCTTTTTATGTTTGGTTTTCTTACTACGCCCATGTTCATTGTGAATGCCAAAAACGCTTTCATTTCATCTGAGGTAGGCTAACTCTCACTCAGTCATGAATTCAGAATTTTGGAGATCCCACATTTTTGGAAATTGTGGTTTGTCTCAGTCACAATGGTTACCTGTTTTAGTGAATCGGTGGCTCAGTCGGTAGCGTCGCGGACTTCGGGCCCAAGGCAGCGATGTCGTGGGCTCGGATCCTGGTCACTGCCAATAACATTTTATCAGTAGGCCTACAGTTCACCTTTGTACTGTACCGGCTCACTCCTTGCTTTGCTGTAAACGATCCACGCACGGACGCTTAGTCTATGTGGACGGGCAAATGCAAGGTTAAAAGAGGCCGCCAACCTCTTAACAAAAGGTTGAAATGAAGGTTACAGTGGAAGAGAGGTTGAAGTTTGGAATTGGTTTTGAATTTACTAAGGGACAATACTTTGGCATGGATTGTTCCAAAAACATAAACTGACTTTCATATCCATTATTTACTTCTTCAGCCAGATCATCCCAACTGCTGCTTTCATGTTCTGGATATGGTCGAGTTCTAACCCACTCGTTGAGTTGTTTCTGAGTCATGCAACACTTTATTAGTTCTCTCAGAATGCTCTTTCATGCTTCAAACACCATATATCATGGTTCTTCTTCCTCTCAGTCTACCTCTTGATCTCGGACTAGGCCTAACAGTATTTGAAGTAGGAGTATCTTCTTCAGAAAATGACGAGTCCTTTATATTAGGTGACCGTGACTGAACATTATTCCCTATTAGCCTTCTTTCCGGATCAGCTTGAGTGTCATTCTCATCTTACTCATTCTCTCTTATTGAATTGAAATATAAACTGATTATTAGGTAATTATAGTCACTTTAATTTTCAGCGAAATCAAAATTATGTTTTCTTCAGTTTGTATTCTGCTTACCAACAAGTTCTCACTAGTTAACAAGAGATTTGCAACACCGTTTTTTGCTCGATTTGTGCATTATTTATTCACTAGTAACTAAAAACTATACTAAATGTGTACAAACATGATACAAAACAACACTACTAAGGCTTTTGACAATATAAACAACAACCTTTGGCTTGTGAATGTAATAAGCTGGGGCAGGTCAGGAGTGGGGAAGGCTCAGGCAAGGCCAGACAGTGCCACAGCCATCTGAATTGTTTTATTTCCCAATTATGTATTATAATAAAAAATTTTTGTATATACTGTATAAAGTATTTAAATTTTGTAGGGAAATTTTTTAGCTTAAATGAAATATGGTATATGTATTTTATTATTGTTAGGTGCATTACCTGAGCTCTAAATTAATAATCCCTACCTGCCGATATATCGGTGAGTGGCCTTTTTCGCATTGGCAGACCGCGCTCAAATTCACGTTCACTGCTAATGATATTATATATAGTGTGGCTGTGTGTACAGTGCTAATTTATTTCTATATTCAATAAATTGTATGATATATTTATTTGTATACAGTTTCCTTATATTGTTATAATTATTTATTGATATACCGATGCAGTGGCGTAACTAGGGAGGGGGAGGGGGTATGAGGAGGATAGAACCCCTCCCAAAGGCAAAAAAAAAAAATATTGCTTTAATTAGGCTGAATAACCTCCTCCATAATGGTTTAATAATGAACATTGTTCACAGAGGATCAATCAGGAATTGTCACGGGTAATTTAATTTCATAATCTTTGCGAATAAAATCGGGTATTTCCAGTGGCGATTACGTGGAAAATCGTCACATTAGGTTGGCCACACTGCCGCTCATGCGCTGTAAGTTTAAGTTTTCAGCCTGTGAAAATCCAGACGAGCACTGCAAGCCTCTTTTTAAGGATTTTAAGATTCAAACTGTAATAAATTTGTTTATTTATGATCTTGCCCTTTATATCTTAAAAAAACCCCATCACCTAAAATTCAATAATCATAATCACAATACCAGATTTAAAAATAGTGCCTTGTTAGAATCACATCGTCTGAGTAAGACTAGCAAGAGCCACATAGTGTTATCAACTAAAGTATATAACCTTTTAAAACACAATATTGATCCGCAAGAAAAATTTAAGTCCTTGTTTTATAATTGGCTATTAGACAACCCTTCTTATAGCCTGGACGATTTGTTCAAATCTGGCCAAATAAATCTTTGATTGTATAACCCTGCTGCTAACCTGTTGCTTTATCAGGTGTTGTTTGTTTAGTCATATGTACATATTTTAACTATTAAGCCCTATTGTTTTTTCAAAATATTGAAAGTGTTTTTGATTTTGTTTTGTTTGACGATTGATGTATAATCATGATTTTGACTTTGTCGATGATCTAATGTATCCTTATGACAAATAAAGATTTTTATTATTATTATTATAATCAATTTATAATAAAAACTCAGTAGATACGGCTCTTCACACGCAGCTAAGAAGGCTACAGTACAACAAAAACTTAATGATAGTTTGTTTGTTAATTGTGTTGTGATTATGATTTCATCAAATCAAATCAAATCAATTTATTGTTGTAGACATTTCACTATGCATTAACAATCGTAATAAAATACATAATGCTGTTATTAATACAGCAAATGAATACTTACGTGTAATCAATCAATATAACAAGATCTAGTATTAAAAAAATATATAAATATATAAATACAGGCACAATTAAATAGAAATATTTTGACATGTAAAAAAATCCTCCACTGTATATACGGGCATTTTTGTATTAAATATGTTTTCATTTTTGATTTGAAAGTGTTCAAGGACAACTTCCCGGACTCCACTGATAAATTATTAAACAATTTTGCTGCCATGTATTGAATGTTTGTTTGACTCTTTGAGTATTAACGCTTTGTATTTTTTTTTTTTTTAGGTTGATTTTAAATCTGGTTTCATAATTATGTTTATTTGAATTTTCTGAGAACATTTCTAAAAGATTTTTTACATACAACTGAACTTGAAGAATATATATTGCAGAAAAAGTTAAAATTTTGAAATGTTTAAATAAAGGTTTACAGTGAGTTCTATAGCGTACACCACTTACAAGCCTTATCGCCCTTTTTTTGCAATTTAAATAACTTTTTGGTATATGATTGGAAACCCCACACCAATATTCCATAACTCAATAAACTATGTATCTGTGCATAATACACTGTTATGAAAACATCTTGTGTTACACAACCTTTAAATCTTCTTAAGCAGTAAACACCTTTCGATAGTTTGGTTGAGGTTATGTCAAAGTGATCCTTCCAATCTAGTTTTGCATTTAAATTAATTCCAAGAAATCTTAAAGGTTTTACCTCATTTAATAGATACTGCCTATTTGAGAAACAAATTTCTAAATCTTGCAATTTATTTAGATTTATGCATAATCTATTAGCATTACACCACTGATAAATCAAATCCGTAGCATTTTGCAGGATGTGATTCATTTGATCTCTAGATTCAGAACAAACATTCAAGCCTAGGTCATCAGCGTAAAGAAAACTATTGATGTTTTCACCTATCAAATTGTATGGCAGATCATTGATATAGATATTAAATAGTAGTGGCCCTAAAGAAGATCCCTGAGGAACACCAACGTCTATATTTTTTCCTAGAGATAGCTCATTTTTGAAACTAACAAATTGTTCTCTATTTTTTAAATACGAATTGATAAGTTTAATTGAATTGTCTTGAAAACCATAAAATTTTAATTTGTGTATTAATATGTTGTGATTAACAGTATCAAATGCTTTTGACATGTCAAAAGAGCGAAAGCAAACCAATCTTTTGTTCTCTATATTTTTAACCACATCTATAACTAAACAAAAACTAACAACAGCATCACTTGTGCTATTCCCAGAGCGAAACCCAAACTGCCTATCAGTAAACATTTTGTTCCTTTCAAAGTATTCATACACCTGGTTATACATGAGTAATTCAAACAACTTTGATATGGTTGGTACAATTGATATTGGTCTGAAGCTTTCATAACTATCATTATTTTTCTTGGGAACTGGAACCAATTTTTTTAAGTACTGTTGGGTATACACCCTTTTTTATCATCCTATTAAATATTGTGGTCAATACTTCACAAATACTAAAAGAAGCGTGTTTAAGAATAATTGAATTCAATCCATAGATATCCAAACATTTACTTGTACGTAAGTTATTAATAACTTCTTCAACCGAAACAAATCTAAACTAAAAAATATGCTGTCTCATATCTACTTTTCCAAGATATGAAGTGAAATCACGTTCATGATGATTTATCCGTATGTTTTTACTTAGTTACTTGCTATTTCCTGATACTGACCGGCCAGGGACATCCTCGATTGGGTTGATTTTTGGAGTTCTTTTGAACATGATTATACCTATAAAATGCCTGAAAACGTAAGTTTGAAGTTCTAATTTTTTTCATTTTCTCCGGACCCCCTTTAAGCTGGGGGTTATTCCAAACCCCCCAGGCCCCCCGGTGTTGGGGCTGCTCCATCCCCCCCCATAGCCATGTTCTAGTTACCGGTACGCCACTTTACCAATGACACATTTGTGTGTCATCAGCAGCAAACATGTTAGTATTATAAACCAATATAGAAAAAATTCGGGAAACAACCTCTCTATCCATCACTGTTGTCTGTTCTAGGGTCTAATAATCCATGTGATTTGGAATGCCAGTGTGGAGGGTCTACAGACCAAGAGTGTTTACAGTCTGCAGAAGTCTGGGCGTAGCATGTCTCATCATTATGACAAACTGCGCAAAGGTGTTGTGGTAATACACTGCATCTCAGGGAATGAGGAGAGTCAACTCATTTCACTTCTAACAACTCTTGTTCAAGCTGATCCATTAACCTTCTCTGGACAGACCCTATTCATCTGAATAATTTAAGTTTCATCTGTTTGATCCGAATCTCATTCATTACTTTATGTTTGTTTTTTGTGTGTTTTTTTATGACTTATTGAATAATTGATCGTCAGTTTTTTGTCTTGTGAAGTATAAAATAAGCAAGCATTGATACGGTTTGAAATTCAAATTACTACAAATTAACATCCATCCTAATAATATACTTGATACTTTCTCAAAGATTTCCAAGTTAAGTCAGTATTAATAGTTTTAATACCCTTAGACATTTAGTTTAGTTATTAGTTAGATGAGTCAGGGCAAAACATTCAGATAACCTGATCCTGGGCTGATGTGTACTCATAGTCATTCTGGGAAAGAGTATTATTTCAACATTTCAAAATTACAAAATTTGAACATTCAAAAAGCCTTATTGAGATATTTTTGTATTTTAGATTTTAGATGAGATTTGACTGATTTAAATTAACAAAAAATAAAGATTTTAGTGGAAAAGTAAATAATTTTAGTTCTGCAGTAAGAGTAGACACCTTTAGTTGGGAAATTGTAGATGAATTATGGAAAAATCTATATGTATTAACAAACAGTATTTTGTTATTTAATAGAAGTCAGTTGAAACAATTACTTTGAGTATTGAATTTAAAATGCAAGTACAAGTAAATAGTAATTACAAGAATACATGTGTTCTTAAATGTCGCGGTATAAATCCTAAAATTACTAATAAATAAGGAGAAATTTTAAATTTCCAAGCAAACAAGTAACATTAAAATGATAATTTAGAGTAAGGAACTGAAATTAAAGACTCATAGTACTCTACATACATTTACACATTGACACACAGCATTGACTGGACACAAACTCTACAATGTAGGCCTATAAGCCAATTGAGCTATTTTACCAAAGTAATGCAAGTTATCTTTTTGCTGTACTTATATGTCTACTGCTACTAAATTACTCAGGGGAAGTAAAATTATAAACACTATACAGTTTAGAACATTTAAAAACTATGCAAAAACCTATGTTAAAGGTTTGCTTGTGTATTCGTAAGCCAATATGCTCAGCATGAATTTATCTCTGGGAAATGGATACTTCTAGTTACCTTTTGAGTTTTTAGTAATTGAAGACATTAAATATAGTTGCATTAGATTAGTTTTTGATATTCCGATGGTTATATTAACCAAATTATGATGCCAAAGAACTGTTAATTAGGGCGGGAAATCTGGGTTCCAGAGTATTGTGATATTATAGTGGAACAGATTAGCTGTACTTTATTTCCGACTGATGTTACCCTTTGTTAACTGATAATTAAACGTGTTTTTGTAAAGATTATAAAGTTTAATGTTTTAGTTCCAGAAGTTAAATGCTTTTTATTTTGTTTGCTAGATTTTTTAAGGGCTATTATGTTATGTTCGATTGTTATAAATACAATATAAGATTCATTAAGTTGTATGAAATAAGTAGATTTTACATTGTTCGTTGTACATATTTTGTCAATTCTCCTTGTAAAAAAATAAAATAAAATTAATTTGATTTGTTTATTATTTTTGTGATAGGGTGTGTATGTCATTTTTACAAAAACTGTGATTTTTCTTTTAAGCAATAACGTAATAGATTTAAAGAAAATTCAGTGAAAATAACAGTTACTGTAATATATTAATTTTGAATATTATTGTTAATATTCAAATAATATTAATTTTGATGTACAGTACTCTGAATATTTTTGGTGAGCGTAATGAATTCATTTGAGTAAAATTGTTATTTATTTATGATTTTTACTGAGGAAATTGTTCAAAGTAAATTTAGACAAAGTTACTTTCTAGTTTTTTAATTGTGTTAATCTTATCTAAAGATAAACGTAGCAGATGTACGTTTCTTAATGTTAGTAATGTTAAGATAAAGTGAAAAATTGTTACATTCCTTTTAAAAATAAATGTTTAGGTATACAGGTTTAATAGATTTAAAATAAGTCACTGGCTTGCATTTATTATATTTAGAGTAGTTTTTGTTGCATTAAGCGTGAATGGCGTTTACAAAAATCTTAATTCCTGAATCAAACAGATTTATGCGTAAAAAACAACCTTTTAACAGTTTTGTTAAATTGTCAACAGAATTAATGATGGGTTTTCACATTCCCTATAACATTGATATTTTAATGTGTTTTTTACCATATAGTCAGGCCCGTTTTTGACCATGTCAGCACCCTAGGCACAACTAATAGTAGCGCCCCTTTGCAATATATAACAGGGTGACCACCAACCGGGAAATCCGGGAACTAAGCGTGAATTTTTTTGAACCGGGAATTATGTGTAAATTTTTTATTTCTACCTGGAATTGTCAATTTACAACAGTGACGTTTCCGTGGCCACGGGAGACGGGAGGCGGTAATATGTCTCTACAAGGCCTCGAGGGATGATCGGAACTTTGCCGCGATCGCATGAGGTGATGATAATATCCAAACGACCGCGGGTTATGATCATGATTTTACCGCGATCGCGCAATACGATAATGAGATCCACAGATCCGTGAAGGATGATCAGAATATTGCCGCGATCGCATGAGACGGTGATAATGTCTAAACGACCACGGGATATGATCATGATTTTACCGCAATCGCGCAAGACTATGATAATGTCTAAATGACCGCGGGATATGATCATGATTTTATTGCGATCGCGCAATACGATAATCAGATCTACAGAGCCGCGAGGGATGATCAGAATATTGCCGCAATCACAGAAGGCGAAGATAATGTCCACACAACCGCGGAAAACAGTCAGAAATTTGCCACTATCGCAGAAGACGATAATGATCTCCACATAACTGCGGGATATTATTAACACTTTGCCGTAATCGCGGGAGACAATTACGATGTCTTCACGACAGCGGGAGACGATTACGATGTCTATAGGATCGCGGGAGTTACAATAATGATGTCTACTCTACACGGCTGCGAGAGATGATCAGAATTTTACCACAATCGCATAAGACGATGATAATGTCCACTCAACGACGGGAAAGATCAGAATTTTGCCTCATTCGCGAAAGACGATGATGATCTCCAAACAACCGCGGGAGATGATTACCATTTGCCGCAATGGCGGGAGAGGATGGCAATGCCTCACGACCACGAAAGGTGATGATGTCTTCACGGCTGTAGAATTTTATCATGATCACGCAAGAATATGATAATGTCCACACGACCCCGGGAAAAGATTACAATTTTGCCTCATTCGCGATAGACGGTGATAATCTCATCACGACCGCGGGATGTATTCATATATTGCCGCGATCAAGGAAGACGATATAATTATGTCCACACATCCGCTGGAAATAGTCAGAACTTTGCCGCGATCACGGGAGACGGACGATGATGACGTATATACAACCGCGGGAAATAATTAACATCTTGCCGCAATTGTGGGAGACTGTTAACGTGTCTTCAAGGCCGCAAGGGATTATCAGTTTATCGTGATCGCATGCAAAAACGGCCACAATTTTTTTTCTTTTTTCCAATTTTTTGGCGCCCCCCAAAAAAGCCAATTGCCTCGCGCCCTAGGCACGTACCTACCTTGCCTATTTGGTAAATCGGCCCTGCATATAGTGCCAGTCTAATGGCTGTAGTGAGGGTAGGAACATAATGAGTTTGATTGAAGCAATGTACTCCATTTAGAAGGGCTATAATCTCTGTGTTTTCAAGTGATCTGGAACCTGAAAATCAGAATCTCAGAGTTGTAGTAACACTCAAATAATAACAATACTATAATCAGGATAGCTTCTCTACCATAGGGATATAGTTACTTATTATAAAACTAGTTAACACAGTTAACATAATCTGTTTTTAAAACGGTCATTTAATTTTAAAAGTACTAGTTCAAATTTTATTGTAGACAGCTAGTAGTAACCTTAACCAACAACGAAATACATGATATAAGCCGAGGAACAACAGACTTAGGAGCAGCGAATTTTTTAAGTCCTACAGTTTTAATATTAGCCTATCCTTCTATATTGATTCAGATAAAATTGTTTTTTTTGTATACGAGGGCTATTCAGAAAGTAAGGAAGGTTTTTAAATATAAAAAAAGGAGTAAAAAAAAATATTTTTACTTTACGCACACCTTGAGCTCCGCGGCGTCGTCGAAGCGCTGTGTTGCTAGCCAGGTCTTCATTCTTGAAAACAAGTGAAAATCGCTTGGTGCAAGGTCAGGACTATAGGGGGGGGGGATGAGGAAAAACCTCCCATTTGAATGTGTCAAGGAGTTCTTTGGAACAGTTTGCTGTGTGAGGTCGCGCATTGTCATGCACAAACAAAATTTTTGACATCAATTTCCTTGGCACTTGTTTTGAACTGCTCTCCTAAGGTTGCGCAAAGTTTTACAGTAGGCAGAGTTTATTGTTGCACCATGTTTAAGAAAGTCAATAAAAAGCACACCTTGCCTGTCCCAAAAAACCGTCGCCATAATCTTCCTTGCTAACAATGTTTGAAAATGTTTTCTTGGTTTTTAGGGGGAGCTCGTGCATTCCCACTCCATGGACTGTAATTTTGATTCACAATTACAGTAACGTGTTTAACCCAATTCTCATAACCAGTTACGATGCGATCCAGTAGTGAATCACCTTGTCTGTCGTAGGCATCCAGAAATGTCATAGCTGACCCCCTTCACTGACCTTTATGTAGGCCAGTGAGCATTTTCGGCACCCATCCTGCACAAAATTTGTGGTAGCCTAACCTTTGTGTGACAACTTCAAACAACAAAGTCTGTGCAACTTGTGGGAAACGAGGCGAAAGCTCTGTTATTGTGAATTGGCGGTTTTCGTCAACCTTTTCATCGACTTTAGCGACCAGTTCATCAGTCACAATGCTCGGGCATCCGCTCTTAGCTTTGTCATGAACGTCAGTTCAGCCATTTTTAAACTGGATGCACCATTTTCGCCCAGAACTTTCATTCATTATGTTGTTTCCGTAAACTTCACACACTTAGCGATAAATGTCTATCGGTTTTAGGTTTTTGCCAACAAAAACC